ATAATTCTTCTTGATCTCCTAAATCTTCATTATGTCCAATACTATCAGTACAAAATATTTTGACATATAGTTTCATATAGTATTTTAATAGGGCACTGGTCAAAAATTTGTCTACTACATAATAATTTTTATTATATCATGGTCAATTCTTATGCTTTGGTGCTGTTCTCTTCCAAGTTATTAGGAGACTATAGATTGTATGAATCCTTACAGAAGTTTGTTAACAATAATAGAATTTAATGCATACACTTACCTTGCATGAGGCTTTTTTACGAACAACCAATGTGCCTCTTCTTTTGGTGAAGGTAATAAGGAAACAATGGCTGGAGATCTTTGACTGTAAAAATAACCAACATAAGCTTATTTTACATGGGAAAAATATTTTAACTCATTGCTTGTGTCAATGAATTCATATCAATCACATCCTTCTGTTCTACAAATTCTTTAAATAGTATGATCACTTATTCTGTTTCAATGTCTATTTGACTTGGAGACGCATGAGATTAAAATCATTATATTATTAATTAAAATCTTGAGATACTTACTTGACTATTGACTTGATAGCAGGCCTCTTCCTACAAATAGATAACATTATATTATAATGACATACACAGTGGCTTTTTTAGGGGTAAGGCCATGCCCCCCTCAAGCCTGTGAAGATCTTTAAGCTCTCATTAATCTCCCGCCATCTGGAATCTATTGGCTTTGTGGGGTCCCTTCAGAACTCCGGCCTCAAGGGACTTCGACCCTTTGGCCTGAATGGAGAACGAATGGACAACTCTCATTTTTGCCCAACCCCCTCGTCAAATTTTCTAGATACGCCCTGGCCATATACACAAACACATCTGTCTTATTGTCAAAAATTTTAACTTTTCTTTTTGTCTCAAAGTTTAAAAATTCTGGATCAGAAACTTAAAAACAAACTTACGGATGTAATCTACGATATTCAGCTGGAGTTAATTTTACTTCAGTATTTTCTTTTTTAACCTCTTTTTTCTCATCTGTTTCTTTTT